ATGTTTATATGGACTTTTTTACTTGAAATAAACCAAAGAATCGCTCTGTTGAGTATGACAACATACTTAACTAACACCCTGTATATTCACTCCAGATCAAAAGTTTAGAAACAAATTTTTCAAAATTGACATTTTTGAGATTACTTAGTCAAATAACAATGTGTTTTTTACAATAATTCTTCAGATTCAATAACTGTCGTATAGAATTATTATTAAAAAAATATTGTTATAGATATTTGAAAGTCATGCCCAAAAATGTCAATTTTTTAAAAGCGTTTTCAAACTTTTAGTCTGGAATATATATAATAAGATAATTACATTTGTATATTAAATTATATATATAATAAGATAATTGCATTTGTATATTAAATTATATATATAATAAGATAATTACATTTGTATATTAAATTCAAAAACCAACCCGTTATGTACGTGACATTAATTATTAGATAACATATTACGTTCAAGTCATACAATGTTTAACATACATCCGATTATTTTACAAAATTTGTTTATCTCACATTTTGTACGAATCTCACTAGGCTCTACACAAAATGTATTGATTTGGTCTGGTTTATATTTACATAACGGAAAAACTTAATCGATATATCGACGACACTTTCGTCACTACACAATCCAATAATCGTCCGGACATTTTACGCGTGCATGCAAGAGTGATTTTTCTTCGTGTCACTCGTCTTCTAGCTTACTTAGTCAAGACTGACTTAGTCTATGAACGATATTTTCTAATTCTACACTATATATATATATATATATATATTTGGACATGATATTATGTGTGCGTGCATACGTATATACGTGTGTGAATGTGCGTCTTTGTATGTGTCTCTGTAAATTTATGACTGATTTGATATTTTCATAAGTCCTGATGAGTCTGAAGTGTGTGAAGGATAATTAATACTGTGAACTGCAGTCGAAATATCTTAATCGTGATAGTTATTGTTGTTGCTGTCGCTGTTATTATTATTATTGTCATCGTCATCGTCATCGTTGCCATAATCAGCATTCTCACACACATTGTCACGATCATTATTATTATTGTCCTCTTGAAGCTACGCTGTCTCTCTGATAAGTGTTCTGACTTTGCTAATTACACTTTGCGATACACACTACGTAAAGACGATGTAAACATTTCGAAAAATAATTTTAATAGTCATTATGCATGCTTCTTAGTAGCTCGGAAAAAAGTGGCTCGCCTTATTCCATAAATAATCGATAATTTTTTTTGGGACCGCTGGTCGGATAGACAAATTCGACGGCTCCTTCCAACGATCAAGGAGTTCGAGTATGTCGTCCCTCGAAAATATCACCACCGAAACCATAAGCTGCCTTACATTTGCGGATTCTTATACAAAAAAAAACGGTACGTAGATGAGCATAAACTTTGACTTTTAAAAGTCATAAAACGCTTTTCCGCATATCCGCATGAAACGTATACAGGGTATAACTGAAATAACGCCCACTAATCATATAGTGCTATTCCTAAAAAAAACTGAGACGAAAAGTCCTCTACCATTTTGCAATTTTCACAATATTTTTTTTTAGTTACCCAATGAGCAAAAAAACATGGAAAGATATCTCAAAATTGTCTTGTACATCGATTTTATCCGTTTATTCGGCAATATTTAGAAATTAATATCTCGTTAATCATTTGTTTTCTTCTCATAAAAGTTTAAGAATTTTTTCAGAATTTTTTATCAACTTTTTAGTATTGCATTTTCTTATTTTTACCAACATGAGAAAATACGGTATTAAAAAATTCTGAAAAAATTCTGAAAAAATTTTCATAACTTTATGAGAAGAAAATAAACAATTTTTATCTCTAGCAGCTTTTCTGTAAAGTATTTGAGTAAAAAATTATTGAAAACCAATATTCAGCGATTTTTTATAATTAACATCTTGTTAACTATTGCGAAAATTGCAAAATGCTAAACTTTTCGACTCAGTTTTTTTATTAGGAATAGCACTGTATGATTAGTGTACGTTATTTTAGATATACCCTGTATAATTCAAATATTTCTTCAAGATACGAACGGTATGCCGACGTTATGGATTGGCACGTCTCTGGGATCTGTACAGACTGTTGTATTCAACACGCCTGCCCACAGCGAACGCCATGCTCACCCAGTGGTTGTGTCTACTTGTAGTAAGCGAATTTTTCTAGTATTTGATAAATTTTAAAATCTTACAGCTTTGACCAGTAAGTTATGAAGCACTCCTATAAATTAATAAATAAACATTCTATATCTAACAGAAAATAAAGTTGAATAATGTTTATTTTTATAACAATTTTAATATTAAATAAATTTTATAAATTTTGTAAATTCTCTTTTGGCTTTTATTACTGCCTTTTTCAGGAGGACAAAAAAGTGTAATAAATTGAAGGTGTTTAATACTTATAGCCAAGACTGTATTTATATAGTTGTAATTTCTTTTTAACTTAGTTTTAAGTCATACATAATGTGTGGTTTAACAAATGTTTTATGTATACAGATGGATCTACTTTCAAACTCAAGGGTTGTATCTTATCGATGTCATTCTTAGACTGCAACGGCGCTCTGATCCCGTATTCATATGAATCTTGGAAAGACGAGAACACGGATGGCAAAGAACGAAACAGTAGGCTTTATTTCCTGTACTAATTACATATATACACGAGAATAGAAGATGGATGTATTTCTCATATATTCTGTGATTTTTGCGTTTGCTTTGAAGACTCTTTATATGCATCGCTTAGAGTATATTGCATTAACGATATGGATTTTTGTTAAAGAGAGTCAAGGAAAATGTACAAATAGCCGAATGTCACCGTCGACGAACACGCAAGTCAGCGGGGACAACTTCGAGGACAGACAATTTGTCGTGCTTGTATCAGAGAAGCAAGCGAGAGTTGTGGCATTACCTTCCCAAAACTGTATATATAGGCAACAGCTAGCGGAGACTCATATCGTAATTAAAGCAGAAGTTACCTCACTCAAAGGTATAATCCATGTTATTTTTTAACATTCTGATTTTTATTCATTATTATATTTATTATCTAATTATCTTAAATATGCAATCTTTTTGAAATTCATCTTCACGAAACATTTTTGTTTAGATAACGTCTGCCTGGTATGTTATGTTTCGAATGGTCACATCACAACATATAGTTTGCCCAGCCTGAGACCGCTGATAGACGTCGATTTTCTACCTCTTGTAGATTTGAGGTAAGAAAAGTAACTCCTTTCTAACTCTTTTATTTTAGATATCAAAGCAATATGATAGTGGCAATATTTGCACATGATGCGTTGCACTATACGCTATTGTAATATCGCAAAAATTTCTATACTTTTTACTCTTAATATAATACATATATTTACATATTAAAAAAAATCTTAAAAATTACATATATATACTACATAATTCAAAATGATATACAAACATTATACATAGATCCAAAGATTATATATTTCATATATATATACATATATATATTAATATATGACGCAGTCATAACTTAGCAATGCTATGCTAGTAATGTTAATATTTGTAATAATTTGATACGTTTCTTCTATATATTTAAAATCGATAAAATTAGCTTTTCAAGAGACACACTAAGCTTGCATAGAAATTATTTTTATCATTAATCTTGCATTAAGGCTATCATATAAAAATGTAAAAATCTTTTTGGTGTAAGTATTCATTGCCATTGAAGCTATTTTCTAACCAATGCTTTACAGAGAAATTACAATTGATAGGTTGGAAAACGGTTGATATTATATTAAACTCAACTTTTAAATGTGGTAATTTTATACGTAATTATTGCTTCTTATTAGAAAACAGAAATAGGAGCTAGCTTTTAAAAGGTAAAGGGAAGTCCAGAAATTCTTGTTTAAATTAAACAGCGGCGAATCTTTTGTCGTTTACAATCGAAGGCTTATTTACTGCATTCAAATATTTTTAAATCGGTATATCTTTTAATCGATTATGTTTTAAATAAGTTTCGTAGCAAAATTTATCTTCTGCATTTGCATAGCTGATTATTACAAGTTATTTTTTCAACATTTTATTATTACGATGCATGAAATTGGTTAATCTTATTAAAATTTTGCTTATTTTCATCATCGTTTAAACTTTATATTTATTCGCAGTAGAACATTAATAAACACAAATTTGAAATCGACTAGCATCATCGAGTAGATCTAGATAAGGTACCGAAGCCAGAGATATATGCGCTACTGTCACGTAAACGATATTATAGTTGGCTATCAGGTACTTATATTCTCAAGAGTATTTCGATTTACCAATTATATTTTCTATCAAATTCTATTTATAATAATATACTATACTATTTATATATGTGTATAATACTTCTCTAGGAGTGTGCAATTATCAAACGTTCTGTGCAATATAATTTAAAGATTCATCTATTTATAGTTATACAAATTTTAGAAGCACAAGTTTATAACTAAACAATTTAGAAATGGATAATATGGCACACTTCTAGAAATTTCTTTTTATATTAAGGATATTACGCGAATGTTTAGGAGCTAATAAATTCACAGCAGCTTATCTTCTTCTTGATGTTTAATAACATTGCTATTTGTGAAATCGCCTAAAAAAATATGAAGAGTTGACGATAATTTATACACGTAATATATCTATACATATAAATATTGCTCTATATTTATACTCAATATTTATCAAGAAGTGAATTAATAATTACTAACAATAATGTTAGCATGTGACTTTTCTCTATGCAATAAATGCACTCGTTAACCCTTAACACAATTAAAGCATGTGTCATTTGTAGCATTTTTACGAGCACTTCTACTACTGCACTCTTTATCTCGAAGCATATAAGCTTTCAGAGAATGCAGCATTGTGAAACGAATGAAAATGCGGATTTGCTTTTTAAAATTAAAATTGAAAATATTTTTGATCCTAATTCGGACTTACCTATGTTTTTTCGCATAACGTTTCACAATCACGCGATATAAAATTGTCTATCTGTAGCAATTCTTCATCTGCAAATTTTAACTTTTATTTTGAAATTTTTCTATCTCATTATATATGTATCATATCTATTTAACAAAATCTGCCACTACACTACGAACTTTCAGGCAACATTTACCATATTATCGTCTGTTTCACTTACAAATTTTTCTACATGTACAGATAATAAGATCGTGCGAACATATTATGATGAGTCTTCTTGAAATTAAAATAAATATTGGACTGTCTGTGTGTTTTAAGGGTTAATGCTAATTAACGATAACTATATCTAATATTAACCCGTGAATCTTATATTAACCCGTGTACGGTCGAGCGCTCACTTTTCTCCTGTCTCTAAAATCTCTAACAGTTTTCAGACCACAAAACACGGCATTGTAGACCCTATGTTGACCATATGGGGTCATCAACTCTTTGTTAATGGCGATACCGATCAGTAAGTCATCTACGAGTATAAAGTACAACTAACCACACGTAAACCTTGACACAACACAACACGAGTGCCTTGCGTGCAATGTACTATCTCCTTTCAATTTCATGATTTTTTTTCCAGCTTCATAATGTTTCACATAGGAAAGCGTTCCTCCCGTCACTTGAAACCTCTATAACTATCAACCTAATTTTTATGATAGACCATGATATTGTAATTTTATATGCAGTCTATTATCTATGAAACAACGCATTGTAGTAAAGCTGCCTTGTGCATATTTTTTGCAGGATCGCAAAGACGCTTTGCTTCAGCAATCGAGGCCATGGTTTATATCTCTCATCACCAATGGAAATACAGAAGTTCTCCGTTTCGAGTGAATTCTGGTATTGTTTTATATACACATCACTTCTATTTAATTCTATAAAATATGTAATTTTTATACTGAATTTATACTGATACATTCTTTTATTTAACATTAAATTTTACTTAAAATGTAAGTTATATTTTTATTTGGTTAGCGCCGAATTGACGGAGATGATGGGTGATCTGTTTATTGGCCACGATATGCCAGAACCGCCTAAAGAGAGTTTCTTCAAAGGTTTATTCGGTGGTGGTTCGAGGAGTCTCGATCGGGAAGAGTTATGTAAGTAGACATTTTTACTGAATTAACAAATTGAAAATAATAGAAATGAATAATTTGGAGCAAGCTAACTCTTATTGATGCTGATTATAGTCGGTGAATCCAGCGGTCGTGCGTCGCGCACAGTGGCGAAACATATTCCAGGACCAAACGAGGCTCTCCGAGAACGAGTCTCTAGCGCAACGGGCGAGGTAAATATGGCACATCAGATGGTGTTGGAACGCGGCGAGAAGCTATCGCAGCTCGAAGACCGGACCGCACGTATGATGTCGGAAGCTGAGAATTTTTCTCAGAGCGCTCATGGATTGATGCTCAAGTACAAAGACAAGAAATGGTACCAACTATGAGAACGCCATTCGATCCGAGCCCGATGGGACGACGCATGTTTCTTTAGTTACTTAGCGTTCGTGTTTCGTCTATGAGTTTTGTCGTATTAAGAAACTAAAAGCTAGCTATACTACGATCCTCACGCACACATGGGAAACTTCTACACGAAGGGAGAGAGATAAAGCAGATATATGTACATGCGATCATCTGTGCGACGCACACGGTACACACGCACATGTTGTAAACGAGAAACAAAAAAAACATATATTTCAAAGCGGATAAGTATTGCGACGATCTCTCAAATGTGTAAATCTTTGCGTATGAATGAATAAAAGAGAGACGTCAGCGAGATAAAAGTCGCGGCTACGCCGTGATGCATTTGTGCGGATGTGACACACATGTACGTATAATTATTTAAAATATAAAGTACTTATATACGCAATGATGCGACAGAAATATACGCGAGTCAATATAAGCAATTATGTAATAATTCGCCTTTTAACCGGTGGCACTCGTTAATTCATTCGGACGTCCTGTGAACGTGTTTAATGGCGCCTTGCCTTGTTTGCTTCTCAGCAAAGAATTGCCAATAAGTATTTACGAACGTCACATTGTTGCAGAGTTTATGCACTTTCAGGTAGATGGAATCGAGTGAAACGCTAAGAATCGCATTAGTTGTAAATCGACAAAAAATAGTACTTATATATATATATATTACATGAGTTCTCCTATATTAAATTAATATATGTATTATAAAAAGAGAATATATATTATTGGAATAAAATACACATGGCTATTCATATATCATTAATGCCATTGGAAACTCTTACAGTGTAGTATAAAACACATTTTAGAAAAGAGTTGTTATTAACTAATAATTCTTATTCCGCAATGTAAATTTTATAATCATGTACATTGTAAGAGCTGACTTGTATTTAAGTATTTATCGTTACACGATCGTAGACATTTTCTTAAATATGCGTTAAGGAATAGAATAAATGATCAATGCGATTCTTAAAATTCGTAAGTCTATCGAGTTATACAAGTGCAAATGAGAAATTTGTTAGGCTCGACAGAAATGATTTTGTGGATACTTCATGAAAGTTACGAACGCAGGCAAGACGGCACAGCGACACCATTCCGAATGCATTGACAATAAATGTAGTTAATTACTCGGTGAGAAAGAGTATTGAATAAAAGTTGAATGCAATGAAATATATTTTATCCAGAATGGCGGGTGTTGCGCAGGCCGCAAAAGCTGCTATACTCGCCACGCTGATAAGAATGTATTAGTTGTTATCGATTGTAGTTATCGCTAGACATGCTATGTATATAAAGAGATGAATACAAGTAGGACAGATTTCGCGTTATAAAGCTGTTTATATAACAATGTATTATGAGTTACGCTATTTCGATGCCGACGATAAATTCAACTGGATTTACGACACATTTAACCGACGTGACATGAATTAACAACACTATTGTAATTTTAGCACTACACATATAGTTTAGATTAAAATTAAAGACAATATATAAGATATAAAATATACATATATAAATAACCAAAATATGTATATGTATATATGTGTATATACAAGAAGGTATATGTATATATACATATATATGTGGTCATATGTATATGTATATGTTTAAACATATAAGTATGTATGTGTTTAAACATATAAACATATGTATATGTTTATAAATATATACATATATATGTTTATACATATATATGCGATAAATTCGTTTGAATTTATCGGGGCTCTGAATCGTCGTACTGCTTCCATAGCAATAACTGTATAGTTGATGTTTATGGTACTAATCACTCGTATACTTAATAATGTGGCCGCAAAAGATTACTTAGAACGCATTTTTCGAATTGATTCGAGCTCATGATATAATTTCCCTTGGACAATATACACGTATAGAAAATCCGTTGTCCCATTACACACTCTTATCACGGGATGTCTTCACTATTGATTACTAGTACAAAAGAGCGCGAGCTCGTTCGTCGAATTGTAGTGTACGAACTGTAGTTGAAATCCGTATATTGATGCTGAATTTGTAATACGTTCGTGAGAGTGCGCAGATTAGTGTCGAATCTAAAGTTTCGATCCCGTTTTACCTAAACTGCTAACTTTGACAAACGTTCCACTATCTTACTATCTAGAATTATTATTCCTCGAATACCCGACACTCAGTATGTAAGCAGTTCAATGGTAGATAAGATACATTCAAAATAAAATATAAAGTATCCTAAGCAGCGGAGAGATTTGTTAATGCCCGAATTACGAATGCCGGAAATACAAATTAGAGGAGAGAGGTGTTCTTTCAGTGAAGGATCGTTTACCGTTGTAATAATAGAATACATAGATTTAATGTGAGCTAGTTACAGAGAACAGGCATATTATATTATTATTTAAATGTTGCAGTAATATATTCTAACATTTGTTGCACAAAGATTATATATTCGTCGATATAGTTTTTCATTATTTATCAAAGAATTTAATCATATCTCAAAGAAAAATTCTAATAATAATAATCTACTACTTTACAAGCCATAGTGCATAAAAAAAGCCTATATGAGGTCAGAAACGCGATTACTCAACCGTAATTAATCGATTTGCTTGCCGCTTTAGTTTCACACCACTTATATTTTTTTGTAATATAGTCTTGAAACTCAGCAAATGCTATTTATAAAGCAAAGTTTTAACTCTCTCTTTCTAGCCCATATTTATTCTAATTAAATCAAATTATTGGGAGATAGAAGAAAACTTTTGTTTTCTATATCATTTTCATTATTATATCTGATTAATAATATATTGTATAAGTAATAGCGTACAACAATTATAGAATCGTAGAGTGTACAGATATGTCTAAACTATAGGTAAATATATAGCTCACATACATACACGATATTAATTAATTTTAAACATGATCTACAATGCTAGAGAGATTATCGCTGGGCTGGACAGAGATAAACAGAACATATACATCTTAAAGTCCTCTTGTAGACATCTGCAAATAGAGATATAACAGTTACCTTTACCATGTATTTAATCAATTTTTGTACATCGACATATAATTTTTTAAATCATTAATTAGACGTGAATAAAAAAAACGGGAGAGATTTTTTTCATAAACTCGAGGCCGATTTTATCAATATATGTATCATGTTCCTCTCTCTTTTTAAATTATAATATCTTGCCTTTTTTAAAAAGGCTTTGATATTGTTGCATATAAGTTTTGATTCACTAGTTTTGAGTGCAAGTAGTAGCGCTACTAAATTCAATATTATAAACGAAGTTTATCTTTAAGCGTCGAAATACCTAATATTCTCAATTTATACTATTAACTATTAACGATCTAGTAGAATTTTTATTTTTCAACAGATAGACGATATAGGTATCATCTTATAATTGTAAGAGTACTGCCTCGATTACAGACTGTATCTTGGCTCCAATTTAATAAATGAGTTTTACTCGAAGTTCCAAAACGACATATCATCTCTATATTATTGTAATGTCGCTTTATATCAAATATAATTAATTTTGCATAATACCTTTTTATCTTAAAAGAACATGATTGTCAAACTTGTCCTCTTCTGAAACAAGAATTGGGTGCATTCCATTTGGTGATACAAGTGTCTTTCTATCTTTGTTACTCTTTGAATACCAAGAAACATAGAATGATGTTTGTGTCGACTTGTATCATTAAATGAAAAGCACCCACTGTGTTTATGATTTGCGTGTCATTTGCTATGTGTACATATACATACTGTTTCGTTTTTATTATAATAAGTATTTAACATTAACTGACACAGTCAAAATGATTAATTTTATATATATTTTTAAATTGTTTAAATTTATAATTTAGTGTAATACTCTCTCTTTTAGAGTCGACTTTATTATCTCAGACATAAGTTCTGATTATAAAATTATTTAATTTTGCATTAGGGCAATCAAATAAAACGTAACGGACGACAAATTCAGACATTAAAATCAACTAATATGTTAATAATCATTATGGTTGGCAAGGCACTTTCTTCATTGTGAAACCAGATGACGGATGTCCTGTTCATAAAATTCTTTAGGCTGGGATCGAACCTATTCGCAAACAATCTTCTGCACTACTGCATCCGACGGAAATTTTCTGTCTTTTAGATTTTTCTTCAGATCTCCAAAGGTGTGGAAATCGCATGGCGATAAGTTCGAGCTGTAGGCTGGGTGCTTCAGTATTTCTCAGCGGAACTGTGTCGCTATGCAATTTCCACATCTTTGGAGATCTGTACCCCGAGTCTGTGATTTTTAACGACAGTGTCGGTATCGTTATATTGTCATGCAGATATTATACATGGTAAAAAAGCTGCAATGACAACATAACGGTATTGAACTGTCATTAAGAGTTACAGAATTGGAATACTGGAGAAGAATCTGGAAGGCAGGAAATTGCTGTCGGATGCAGCAGTGCAAGAGGCTGTGAGTGGGATCCCAGCCTGAGGAATTTTATGAACAGGGCATCCGTCGTATGATTTCACAATGAAAGAAGTGCCTTGCCAACCATGATGATTATTAACATATTAGTTGATTTCAATATCTGAATTTTTCATCCGCTATGTTTCATTTGACTGCTTCAATACATTAAATTATAAATTAAATGACCTTTGCGCATCGAGTTTCAACGCCACAAGTAGAATAATCTTTCGACAATTTCCTTTACGTTTCTTTTAAAGAAAAACTTCATTTTTGGTTTAGCGATCGTAATGTTCAGTATGGCAAATGAAAAGATTGCATTGCATAATAAACTTTCCCTCATGAATTTTAAGAAAGAACCGCGTAGGTCAAAGCTCTCTTGGAGAACTTCGTTCTTTTTTTGCCCTGCTCTTTAACCAGAAGGAACGGTGACTGCTATCGACACCCGATCTGTAATTAAATTAATTTCTGTGCCTCCACCTTCGCCAGTTATAGGCATCGGCATGGAATAATGCACCGGCGCGACGCGTTGCGACGCGGTGCGACGCGACCCGGCGTCGGCGAAGGTGCTCTCGACCGCACTCTCGCGCACACTTCTCATTTCCAATTTAAAAATAATGAGAATCTACCGCGAATAGGTGAGGCTGTCGCGCACAGATACCCATTGACTGCACTGGCGTCTCGACCGCGCGCAAAGTGGAATGAATTGAAAAAAAATTCAATTTAGCTTCGGGTATACCGCATAGCCGCCGACTCGTGTCGTGACGCGACGCGACTTTTCTCGCCATAAAGGGAACAATGGATCGAAATTTATTTGTCCCAGCTATTTATCCACATCGCGGTTTCTCGAATAAGATGTACACGAGTAACCGCCCTTTAGATTCAGCTAAATATATTCCTCAAATATTCATAAAATGTTCTTAAAGTCTCAAAGTAACGTTCTAAAAATATTCCGGTATATTCCCAAAATATTGGCCATTCAAGCCAGACGAAGCAGCTAGCCTGATCGTCGAGCAATTGAATATGATTGATTGGATCAACGAAACCGATATTATCGTTAAGAATTACAGAACTCCAATGCTAGTGAATTATTATTTAAACGAAATTGATATTATAAAAGAATACATTTTATTGCCTTTCATCTTAAAGCCTAATTTAGCGAGACGTCCTGGGCTAAATATTGTACCTTTTATTCCATCTTAAATATTTGGATCT